GTTAGAAACCATTGCTTATGTAATTGGATCATGTCAGTGAATACAGTTGCTGCAAAAAATATTCCTACTTTGACCATTTGTGAACGTAAATAAGGTTTTTTCATAAAATGACATTTGTTTTCAGGACAACATCAAACTGCTGGTAGACTCTGTACGAAAAATGTCAACCAGATGCACTGAGGATGCTGTAAAGAACAGAGGTGGAAACATCAAAGTCTGGGGCTGTTTTTCGTACACTGGTGTCGGTGAGCTTGTGTTCATTGAGTACATTTACATGTACTTAATAATCCGATAACTGCAAAAAAATCTGATTTTGTCAGTAATCCAATCAACAAGTTTACATGCTCTTGGGTAATCAGATCATGTGAAACGTCAGGTCTACATGAGTCAGACAGTAATCGGATTTCTGCTTTGCAACCAGCCAATAAACTCACAGGAGACGTGATGTAAACGTAACGTGAGACTCAAACTTAATGCCGCGTATTTTTTTTAAACATCGCTCCACTTTACCTAAAATATAAACATACATCATCTAGAAGAAGAAGAATGTTCAAATCCTTTATTTCGTATTTGGTTTCAACGTCTCTCCAACAGTGTTTTGCTGCATCTCGTGACATCCACAGTCTGATCTCGCACATGTGCAGACTGAGAAATCCGACAGAAATCCGAGTAAGAGTTTACATGCACTGAGAAATCTGATTACTGAGCTAAAATCCAGCTCTCTTTATCAGATTTCTTAATCACATTTCTAGATCGGAGTATGGTGTTTACATGACCATTTGAATAATCGGATAACTGCAGAAATCCGGTAATGATCAGATTATTGTGTGCATATATACGCACTCATTGATAGGATCCTCACCTTAGAAGTGTAGAAAGGCATTTTGGATAAGGGCTGGGCATTAGGACAATATATACTGTTATCATGAGACTTAATGTCACAACACAATACAGTACATCTTCTGAAAGTATCGTGGATGTTGTCGGTATTTGTCGAACTCTGACCAACTGTGTGTTTCATTATAAGGAGAGCAAAATTACTTCTGTTTAACTGGACTAAGTGCAACACAGTATGCAAAATATTCAGTAAAAATCATTGAGTGTGTTTACATGCACTCAATAATCCGAGCACAACTGGATTTCTGCAGTTATCGGATTATTCAAATGATCATGTAAACACCATACTCCGATCTCCAAGCTCAGTAATCAGATTTCTTAGTGCATGTAAACTCTTACTCTGATTTCTTTCGGATTTCTCAGTCTGCGCATGTGCGAAAAACAGACTGCTGTACCGTAAATAAGCAAAGCGAGACGCAGCAAAACACTATTGGAGCGACGCTGAAACCGAATACATTGTCGGCGAAATTAAGGATTTAAATATTCTTCATCTTCTAGATGATGTACGTTCATATTTTCAGATGCAAGTGATGCAATGTTTTTTTTTTTTTTTTAAAGATGCATGGAGTTTTACAGTACATTGACGTCACGTCGTCTTCTGTGAGTTTATTGGCTGGTTGCAAAGCAGAAATCCGATTACTGTCTGACTCATGTAGACCTGACGTTTCACATGATCTGATTACTCAAGTACATATAAATGTGTTGATCGGATTACTGACAAAATCTGATTTTCTGCAGTTATCGGATCATTAAGTTCATGTAAATGCACTCATTGTGTTCCTCTCTCTGGGTGGGTAGGATTGCCCTCCCTCTCCCCCATCACTCAATGTCGTGCCAGCCAGCCCAGGCGTTTGTTAGCTGATGTAATAGAATTGGCAATTAGTCTTCTCCTCCAAGCACAGTCTGCTGTCCAATGATGCAGCAGTTAGATATGGTGGCTGGCTTTACTCTGAGAAAGCTTGTCTTTGCCTTCAGCCTCCTGGTACTGTTGGTATCGTGTGATTGGGGGAAACCTAGCTGGTAGGTGGAATTGGACAGGACCAAATTGGGGAGAAAACTGGAAAAAATGCCAGTTTTGATAGTATTGTTTAAAAGTAAGCACTACTGGTTCTTTTTTCATACCGTGTATCGCAAAAAATTCTTTAAGTATCATGATATTAGATTTTCGCCATATCGCCCACCTCTAATTTGGATGCAAATCTGCAGAAGTTTGCAAAGAAATTGTTCAAATAACAACAATCTGAAACCCACCAACCACCTTTTGAAAGACTTTTCCAAAAAGAAAATTACAGTCTTGGAATGATCTGTTTAAAATAAATGCTGTGGTTTCCTAACTCAATGCACTTAAGTACGTTTTAAAATAAATGCACTCTAAAAAGTGTTAAATAACAACACTGACTTGTGTTACCCATTTTAACAGTTTTGTGTCATTGTTTTTGATTTAACATGTTCTGTGTTAAAAGTCGACCTTCAAACTGCACAGATGATGTAAAAAGCACAGAACAATTTACTACCAAACTGTATTCAGAAGCTGTTTGCAATTAAAAAGAGCAAATATGGAACACATATGTTTAAAAAACCAATAGCAAGGACAAATATAAAAAAAATAGTTCTTTATCTGTCAAAGGGGTGTGTTTGTGGAACTAAGGACCTAAGAATGTGTAGCTCACTTTGCAATGTAAAACAATGTTTAAATATAAGGTGGTAAGCACTTATAAAACTGAGGAATGATCATTATTATGTATGAAATGTTCTGAAATGTTGTTGGTTTTCTTTCTGTTTGGATATTACTCTGTATTGTTTAAATGCAGGATTGTATATGATTGATACTGAAATGATATGATAGGGTAGTCAGAATAAGCTATAGCTTCAGACGACACCTATTCAGTCAGCACTTGTTTTTGTATCAATTATTATGTCCATTAATTTTATACCTATTATTTTTTCCTTTTATTTTTGTGTTACCTATCATACATTGCATGTTCTCCCCGTGTCTGCGTGGGGTTCCTCCGGGTTCTCCAGTTTCCTCCCACAGTCCACAGACATGCAGTCAGGCCGATTGGACATGCTAAATTGCCCCTAGGTGTGAGTGTATATGTCTGTGTGTCTGTCCTGCGATGGACTGGTGATCTGTCCAGGGTGTATCCTCCCTTCCAGCCCCCATGGCTGTGTTTACATGCAAAGATTTTTGCCGATCCAATTGAATACATTCCGATCGCAGATTAGGACTGAGGTGTTTATATTCTCACTCTACTCAACAATCTGATGAAAATCTTCGTTTTCATGCTCACTACAAGTAATCCGATCGAAAACGATGCGCATGCGTGGAGAACCACTTAGAGTAAACGTTACCATGACAACCAGCATCACGTAAGGTCCAGTCAGAGTGAGATGAGCAGCAGTGAGCAGCGCTTGTGTTTTTACTTGCTTTAAAATGATGTCAGACTCAGGAAAACGTCCTTCACATGTCCTTATTAAAGAAGGCCGAGAGGAAGACGTCGTGTTCTGAGACACATAAGCTGGACGTCCGTCCCACCGCCGTCTTTTATAGATCAGAGCATAAACTTCGTCTCCTCTGCAGACCAGTTTCTGCTCCGCCACGTTGAACGGTATAAACTTTCACTATGACGCGACGAACATGATCAGAACGGACTTAAACTTTCCGATAGGGAACGTAATCAGATACAGGCGTTTACACGGATATTATTCTTCTATTTAACAGATTATTTACAGGATTACCCACCTCGTTCAATCGGATAGAAATTGTATTCCGAATGGCCTCAATCGGACTAGCCTATTCTGATTGAGCTATTAGTCGGATTATTAGGGTGCATGTAAACGTGGCTAATGACTGCTGGGATAGGCTCAGCTCCCCCTGCGGCCCAGAAGGATAAGTGGCTTAGAAGAAGATATTATTATTATTTTTTTAACATCTTCATAAAAAAAGTAACCCAGAATGCGTTATCTATGACTGGCTATCGAAATATGTCAACACATTTTGCGTTAAAAGTAAGTCGTCTCCAACTAACAACACTGACGTGTCTAGTTAAAGACAGAATGCATTGTTTTTTAATACGTGTTTTAACAGTGCACTTCTTGGGGTCACCAAAGAGCTCCATGGCATATAATCAGACCCCGGCTGCCTGTGTCCATTTAAGGGGTTAAGGGAAGTAAATGACACTTAAATAGAAAGAGTAACATTGTCATCCATCCTATAGATAGAGTAACATGGCAACAGCTGACTGCATGTCGAGCGCGCTGTGCGCTTCAGGATCTATAGGCCGCTCTGTGCGGCCGCGCCGGAACAGTTCCGAACTCGCAGCCTTCCGGCACTTTCCTTCTGGGTTTTTCACAAGTTCGCAATCTTCTGTGGGTGGTTTTAGGGTTCAGCCCCACTCAGAGTCCAATAAGAGCCCCATCAGTGACGTCACGTCTGCAGGATAACTCCTACCCCCACTCCCCCCTCTCTTTTTTTTCGCGCAGCGAAAACTTTTTTAAAGACTTCTCCGCTCTTCTGCGAGAGCTTAAATATCGCGCACGCGTGGCTGAGGCTGCGCGAGCTCTCCCACCGCCTCGAGAGGAGAAAGAGACGATTTTACTCACTTTTTTTTTATTTGCCCCCCTTTTTTTTCAGCACCCAGTTTCTTCCCGCTTTTCCGCCGCTTTTCCACTTTCAGCTCTGCGGAGTTTTGTTTTTCTTCCAGTCTTGCGCTTCAAACTTCTCCCTCCAGTCCGGTCAGATGGCCACTAGATGACACCGCGCAGGGATCCGGAACTTCTGTACTCGCGATAGCCCCGAACTGCTCGCCCTGTTCCGCGGCTCCTCCGCGGGCTTTGCCGAGGCTACTTTTACACGCTCGCGCTCTCTCTCGTGCTCGCAGACGTCCCTGCCTGGCTCTCTCGTGCAGCGCCTGCATGGCTCCTATCAGGTGGGTCGCGGTGTTGCTGTGCTTGGCTGTGCTCGAGCGGCCGGTGCTGGCCGCGGAGCGCGGCGGCGTGAGGACTTTTTACGTGCTGCAGCCCGGGCGGAGCGGCTCGGACGCGGTGCGCGTGAGCTCCATCTCCTCGCGCGCGGGCGCCGACGGGCAGCCGCACTCCTACAACGTGGAGCTCACGGCCAGCTTTGGGGGCCAAGTGCGGACGCGCAGGATGGGCAGCCGGGACGGACACACAGGCCAGCAGATGGTCAAACTTTCTGGGTGAGCAGTGGCACACGCAGGACTTATGGGAACTGTTTGTTGGGTGCTTTGAGACAGCATGTTAGTGTTGGGGGATTTTGCAGGTCATTTGGGTTTGTGTGTTGAGTATGGGTCATTTGGGATAGTGTGCAATATGGGTCATCGTCTGGGATAGTGTGTTGGGCAGTATGGGTCATTTGGCATAGTGTTTTGGCCAGTAAGGGTCAATTGGTATAGTGTGATGGGCAGTACAGGTCATTTGGGTTGGTGTGTTGGGCAGTATGGGCCATTTGGGATAGTGTCCAATATGGGTCATCCGGGATAGTGTGATGGGATAGTTTTTTGGGCAGTACAGGTCATTTGGCATAGTGTAATGGCCAGTTGCATATAGTGTGATGGGCAGTATGGGTCATTTGGATTGGTGTGTTGGGCAGTATGGGTCATTCGGGATAGTGTGCAATATGGGTCATCCGGGATAGTGTGTTGGGCAGTACGGGTCATTTGGAATACTGTGTTTGGCAGTACGGGTCATTTTGCATAGTGTGTTGGCCAGTATGGGTCATTTGGTATATCGCGATGGGCAGTACAGGTCATTTGGGTTGGTGTGTTGAGTAGTACAGGTCATTTGGGATAGTGTGATTGCACTACGGGTCATTTGGGATAGTGTGTTTGGCACTGTGGGTCATTTGGGATAGCGTATTAGGCAGTATGGGTCATTTGGGATAGTGTGTTGGGCAGTATTGGTCATTTTGCATAGTGTATCGGCCAGTATGGGTCTTTTGGTATAGTGTGATGGCAATAAGGATCATATGGGATCGTGTGATGGCAGTATGGCTCGTCTTGGACAGGGTTTTAGATAATATGGCAGAATGCATTAAGTGATACAGAATGTGCATATCATAGGCCCTGAATGACAAAGTCATCCCTTTACTCAGTCTTACACTAAAAATCACTTCTGTAACTTTATTAGCCAGTTTAGAGGTCTGTTTCTGGCCGTCTAGAAAGACTGCACTAGTAAACATCATCTCAAAATGGAATAAAGAAGAGCTTTCTAAAGTGCCCCCACTACCTGAGCTCCTGTAATAACCTGAATCAGCCACTCAGTGGGCGATTTTTGGAAGCCTGTGTGCAGCAGTGCAAAAAAAAATCCTATTTCCAGAATAACTGGGTTAGCACACTTCACAGTTTTCATATAGACTGTATAAGTACAAATATGCACAACAGCAGCCACATTGTTCTTTGCAGAATGCTTAGTCAAGAGTTTTCCATGCCCACCGGCCAACAGAGGCCACTTGCCCCTTGGAAGTGAACCTTTTACCCTCACTTAACAGTTCCAAAAGTTCCACAGCCCCCATTTCCCAGAGGATTTTACAAAGCCCTGGTGTCCAAAAATGATTGCTGCTGGTATTACTGTTTGTTTTTCTCTCATGTCTGAGTGTGGAGCAATGGAAATGGTGGGCTAGCAGCAGCAGCAGTTGGAGAGGAATGATTAGAATGGGATTCCAGTCCAGCTCTGGCCAGAGGCTCTCACATTTATCTCCAGAGAGAAAAGACTGGCGGCGCAGACCGCTGGGTGGGAGAGGGGTGGATCTGAGGGTTACAGTTAGGTCAATGGGTCCGTTACCGTGTGTGTGTGGGTTGTCGGTGTTCCTGGGTGTTTACGTATTTCTGAGGGAGTGTGTGTGTGTGTGTGTGCTGACTAAGTATGTGCATTTCTTAGTAAATATTCCTCGTTTGTGCATGTTTAAAGACGTTAGTATGATGCATAAGCTTCAGTTATAACGTGGAAAAGAATGCGTGTGTATGAAAGTTGAGTATAAGTTTTAGTGCATATTTTGTGTTGCTGTGTGAGACTGTATGCATGCGAGCGTGTGCAGAGTGAGTGTGTGCGGTTTTGAATATGTGTGTGTGAGACAAGAGAAAGCCACTGTGTGTCTCTGGGTGTCATTGCAGTGTAAACGTCTGTGGAGGGCAGTGCTGTATTGGATGGAGCAAGGCCCCCGGATCCCAGCGCTGCACAAAACGTGAGTATCACAGCCCTATCGCACTGCTGCTCTCAAACTTTTCACTCTGACTGGTTTTGCCGTTGCTGTATATGGTAGTGCTGGGCAGTACATTTTCTTACCAGTATTGGTGTTGCACAAGAAGGGCCTCATTCACCAACCATTCTTAAGAAGAGGCTTCATCTTAAAACCCACTTACACAGTTTTCACAAAGATGCAGACATTCACTGATGTTTTCTTATTTTGGGATTTCTTCTTAGGTAAAAACAGGATCTACACACACTCGAGAACACAAACATACAAACAATTCTGCGGTTTAGGAGCGAGTCATGAATCTGACGTAGGCTTTCTCCTAGAACGTTTCTCAGGAACAATTATAGGGAAAATTTAGGGCGATGTTTGTGAATGAGGACCATTGATATTTAGTTAAGTGGTGTTGTTTAGTAATGAGTTTTGATTGTGGTATTTCTGACCATGCCTTCATCAAATGGTTGTAGTATGAGGTAACACTGCATGAATGAAGGAGGGGAAAGAGCTCCAAGAACTTGAGCTGGAGTTCTTGTGGCTTCTGCTTGGAGCTAGATGACAGGACTGAAGGAGGCGATAGATCAGGGGTCGGCAGCCCAAATGTTAAGAAGAGCCGTTTTGTCCTTTCAACAAAAATCAATCCGCCTTGGAAGCAACATTTTATGTCTGTTTATTGAAGTAACGTTTTACCATCTTGGCTGTAAATATGTCTCAATGTAGACTAAAAAAATAATATAAACGAAAACGCAGACTAACTTTCAGCTTTAGCTCAGCTGTAGCTGCTATTTTCGCATCTCTAGCAGGAACCTTTTTTCACAAAAGTGGAATAGTTTCTTGTAAAATATCTCTCAACATTTCTTTTTTTTACGAGGCTGAAGTCGCTTCTCATTCTCCAGCATCTTGTTTGAATTTTCCCGTTCCACCTTAAATGGTGCCTGAGGTGCCAGAATGTAACTGTTGCATCATTTAAGGTGGAACGGGAAAATTCGAACAAGAAGCTGAAGCTTCGCGACTTCTTAGTGTTTGAGAGTTTCTCACTGCAGATTAAATGTATCCGGAAACCAGCTGAGTGCTTATGAATGTGAATAAGTCCTTTTGTCTCCAAAATATCGATGTTCCTCTTAAATCTCTCTTTGTGTTGTTGCTAGGCGAGACTTATCTGTGTTGCTATAGTGACCAGCAGTTTGTGTGCAAATCTTCAGGGTTAAAGGGTGAATTAGCAGTTATGCATTCCAGTGTTTGGAGCCCTTTATTGTTAAAACTGTGTTGAACGATCAGCAGAGCTTAATTTTACTGCAAAAAAATATTTTTTATTTTTTATTTTTACCTAAAGGCGCATGTTGCCGACACCTGCGATATTGTGTAGGTGCGAAAACGGTGATGGGAAATGCAAGGTGGAGATGGAGATTTATGGGATGTTAGATTGAAAGGAGGGGGAGCTTCAGATTTCCTCCTTTTAAACTTCATTAATGTCTTAGCAACATTATACTGTAAGCTTGCATTTGATGTGATTTTAAGAGGAAAAACAAGCGATGTCAGGACTGTAGCGCAATCTTTCAGCGTACCAGATGGATACAATTGTTTCATCATAGTACAAAGGTGATCAGTCAGAATAACTTTGTATTAATCTGCAGTAACCTCTCCCTTTAAGAGGACAAATGGACCTAAACCATCCAGCAAAATGCCCTCACAGCAAAACGCTGCCCCTTCACTGTAGCGGTCCAGCATTCAGGCCTGTACCGCTCTCTTGGTGTACGCCACACATGCACTCTCCCACTTTCAGAGAATCTGGTGAAGGACGACACATCAGACTCATGTTTTTCCACATCTCTGTAGACCAGTCCTGCTACTGAACTTCCAAATGTACATTCATCTTTGTCATGAGTGGTTTAAGCACCACAGCCTTACTGTAATATCCCTCTCTATGAGTTGTCGATGGACAGTTCTTGCTGACACAGTCTGATAAATGCCCTTGCCATTGCACACTGTATAGGCTAGTGTTGGGGGATATTCTTGTGTTGGTGTCACAACAACCCTGATTTTTTGTTATAGCGTTATTGATTGATAATAAGCATCATAGGTGTTCATTAAATAGTGAGGTCCTTGCTGCCACACTGTTAGAAATACACCATGTAAGGTTCCCTTTGGTGTCATTTTAAGGGATAAACAAGCTATGTTGGGTATGTAGCACATTGTTTAAGCATAGAGCACCAGCATTTAGGAAGCATGGGTCCAGTAATGTTTTTCAACCTAATAAAAACTGAACAAATACCGTGACTCTGTGATATATTTGGGCAATATTGTCATTATGACTTCGATTGATACCACCTAGCAATAGTACCTAATCCTAACCAGCTAGCTATTGAACCTTTTATTAGCCAAATCAGGTGCATCAGATCTGTTGTTTGATTTGTCTCCAGTATGTCCTTCTGCAGTGTCACCAGCAGGTCTTGTGGAAAGTGGTGAAGTGGATTTGGGACCTTACTTGTGACTGTGGAGTGTGCAAAGTGAAAAAAGGCTTCTTAAAGTGCAGTAACGCTGTTGTCAGAAGAAAATCTCGTATCTCCAAAATGACAACTTTACAGGAGAAGAAAAAAACGTACTTTACTTTTAATGTAAGTCAATGGAACCAGACGTTTTTCCTAGCCATTTTGGGCTGTTTCTTTTGGTCCATTCTTCATGAAATTTACAGACAATGTAAAGGGTAACAAGCATTTTCAAATTATGCCAAAAACTGAAAACGACAAAAATGGAGATAAAAACGGAAGTTTTCTTCAGACAACAGTGATGTGTAGGTTTATCCTGCTCCCTCGAAACTCAAAGCCAATCTTGGCCCATCTGTGATGCTTCTTTGGCGGCTCTTGAGTGGGACTTTAACCAGTTAACTGGCTGTTAACATTAACACCGACACTGAATGAGTGAAGTGGTGACCAATATAGTGTGTGATTTCAGCTTTCTGCATTTGTAGCAGAGCCAAGAAAGTACCTAGCTGTGCCTCAGATAAAAGGCTGACAGAAATGCACACTGTTTTTATGGTGGCTTTTATAAATAACCACAGTGGCAGCTGCAGAGCCCACCTGTGAGCCAAATCACTGCTGTCAGGCCCAGAGCGGGGCACTGTGGAGAGAGAGGGAGAGAGAGGGAGAGAGAGAGGGGGGGGGAGGCCAGACAGAGAATAAAACAGAGAGAGGGGGCAAGTAAGTAAAGAAAAGTCCAGACAGAGAGAGAGGAAGAGTAATATGAGAAAGGAAAGGGGAAGGAGGTAAATAAAAGACTGGCAGAGAGAGAGAGAGAGAGAGAGAGAGAGAGAGAGAGAGAGGGAGAAAAAGAGGGAAATGAACTCGTGGTGGGCGATATGATGATAGGATATTGGAAAACACTTTATTTGGAGTGGTGTTTGTAGATGATTAATAAACAGATTATTAGTAATACATCAACAACATGTCAGTGCAGTAGCAGTAGTGAAGCACCTGAATACACTGAAGTAAATATCTTGTAAATGTTCTGTTGATACATTACTTATATTAAGTAGATGTGTTGTTAATCTGTTACTTCCATTACGCAAAACCTAACCTCACCCAGCCTTACCCAAAACCTAACCCTCACCCTGGCCCTAATCCTAACCCTCACCCTGGCCCTAATCCTAACCCTCACCCTGGCCCTAATCCTAACCCTAACCTTAACCTCAACCCAAAACCTAATCCTAACCCTCACCCTGGCCCTAATCCTGAACCTAACCCTCACCCTGGCCCTAATCCTAACCCTGACCTTAACCTCAACCCAAAACCTAACCCTCACCCTGGCCCTAATCCTCACCCATGTCATGGCCCGGTTCTTGTTGTCCGTCTTGGCCTCCTGGACTTTGTCCTCGGTGAGGTTGGCCAAAACTACCAGGCGGTGCCCAGTCAGTACGGCCAGATAACCGGCAAGATAGCAGCAGTCTGTACAGCTTGGCGCAGGGCTCTCCAGATCATGTCTGAAGGCTTTAAAGAGCGACCTAAGGCTCTGTTACTGGGCGTTAACTCACCAGTCAGCTTGGGAACTTTATTAGAGGCAGCGTGCATGAAGGTTCCTAAATCGCTGCTGGGTCTCAGCAATTTTGGAGGCAAAATGCAAGGATGAGACGGGTTGAACTAAAGACCCATAATTATAATACATGCTGTGAGAGTGTGTCAAACTGCTCATAGCTGACATCGGAAGCTGGAGCCTATCCAAGGAGTCATTGGGCGAAAGGCAGGATACACACTGGACAGGTCGCCAGTCCATCGCTGTACTCATTTTACAATAAATATAAAGAATATTAATATAATAAGTAGTGGTTTTATGTATGTCAGGGTGTTTGTTTAACCATTTCCAGTATTTTGTTTGGCCAATCAGAGATTTATCATGTTTCATCAAGTGTGCTGCTGGTGCAATATAACAAATCCATGCGATGGCTGGAAACTCACAGGAAACATCTGGAACCGAACTTAGTTCTTCAAACTAGCTCACAAGATATCAACAACCTAAAAAATAAAAATAAATTTGTTTCTTTTTAGTGTATTTATGTTTATTTTCAGTTATTCTAATGATATGTGGTTATTTTACCAGTCATAACAAACTTATTGTCAGGATAAACTGGTTTAGACTCTGTGTTAGACTCTGTGCTTAGGGGCCTAAGACTGTATTTTGCCATATTGTCCAGCCCTCAAGCCCTAGAACATTGCTGCATTTAGTGCTGGGCCTTGAGGGAGGGGAGGACAGAGAAGTAGAGCAGAGGGAGAGCAAGAGGGAAGTGAGTTAGTGCTGGGCCTTGAGAGAGAGCTAGAGAGGAAAAGGAGCAGACACACATAGGCAGATAGTCAGACAGCCAGACGGACCGACAGGAACAGAAGATACAGACAGAGCCAGATTTGAGAACGAAGCCTATCACAGTCGTCTTTTTTTTTGCTCACAGAGAGAACGGAATCACTTTCTCATTGGCTCTTGAAGCCCTGCCAGCAGGTTATATAAGA